ACTGTGACAAGGCCTACCCACCTCGGCTGCTCTCCACAGATCCATACATTCACCGTAAGGGTCACCGCCATTCAGACACTGGCCACACACACCAGGCACATGACCTCCAGCTTCCACTCACCGCTGGCCACCCTCACCCCTAGGCCCAGTGCGTGGACAGGCACCCTGCTACCTCCTCCCACCACTGCCCACAGCCCTGTCCCTGCCCACACCCTGCCTGTGCCCAGGCCCAGGGTGTGCCCAGGGCTTCCACCAGCACCACAGCCCTGCTCATGGACAGTTTTACAGGGTTCACCAGGCCGTCTTGGGGGGCATGGGGCTCCTGGAGCTTTACCCTCTCATGCTCCCTCCCCCCTCCTCCTCCACACACTCCCCTTGAGATACTCCCTTGCCTCCTCCTCTGTCTTCTGACACCTTCCCCTGCTCCCTGACCCTGTGGCCCCTTCCTCCTTCCTTTCTCCTCCTCCCTCTTCTCCCCTCACTCCTCACTCCTCCTCCCCACTCTCCTGGCCCCCCGGACAGCCACACAGAGCCCACTCTCACACACCCCAGTCTTCCCGACAGTCCCCAGGCCTCTCCCCACCCCCTCAGTGAAGTGCACTCAGGATTACACAACAGTTAGAGCAGCCCTCAGCCTTGTGTTGGGGCCCTGGACTCACTGGGAGACTCTCCCAGAGCTTGCTCAGAGCAGCCTCCTGGGCCGGGGGACAGGGCTGAGGGGTCCAGTGTGGGACCCCAAGAAGACATGTCACCTGCCCAGCGGTCTCTGGTGCTCAGGGACTGCGAAGTGAAGGGTCAGTGAGTGTGGCCAGGCCTGTGGCTCTGCTGAGCAGAGTTGGCCTTCCCTGCCCACGGCCATCACCCCATTCTCAGTCTTGGGGGAAGGGTGGGCCCAGAACCCAGCCCTGGGTTCCAAGCTGCTGGAGCTCAGGTCAGGCCAGGGTGCCTGGGTAGGGCTGTGGGGCCACTGGGCGAGGCAGGAGGAGCTGCCTCCTTGCCGGGAAGCTGAGTCAGGTGGGCCGACCCTGCCAAGCCCTTCCCGGCTCTCCGCAGGACTCCCCGAAGGACTCCCCACCCTGCCAGCGGGTGCTCGGTGGGAAAAGGGAGCAGGGTCTTTTCAGACCCCAACAATTGCCGAAGGCCGTAACTGTCACCGAGAGCACGAGCAGTAGAGGCCGCCCAGCCTACTGCCTTTCCCTCCCGGAGCTCCCTAGAACTCTGGCTTCTTCCTCCCTTCCGTCCTGGCCTCAGCCCTCACCCCAGCCCCACACTTCCAGGCCCTCTCACAGCGCCAGCCGCACCCCCAGGCCCCTCAGCCACCGTCCTGCCTTCCTACCCTGAGCCCCACCACAACCGAACCGCCGTCCATCTCTGCTCCCACACAGCCCCTGTCCCTACACCTTGGGGGCTGCCCAGGCCGCTCAGAGACCTGTGGACCCAAGGCCCAGGCCCTCTGGTCAGCATCCACGTCAGGCCCCAGCTGGGCCCCGGGAACCCGATGAACAGCAGCCTCCATCTCCAGGAGCACCAGGCCCAGGCCCTGGCTGTGGCCTTTCTGCCCTCAAGCCTCCCCCGTCCTGGGAACCGGCACCGTGGCGTCGCTCACACAGGTCTCTCCATCTCTTCCACCACCACCTCTCCTCGCGGCCCTCGCCACATCCTGCACCCTGGCCCGGGGCTCCAACCTGCCACCCCAACCCCATCCATAAATAGCCCTTCAGGCCCCACAGATCCCAGCTGCACCATGGGCCCAGCCCTCCACCCGTGTGCTCTGAGGAGGCCAATGGCCCCTTGCTGGCTCCCAGGCCCAGGGCTCCATGGAGGAAATACCAACTTCCCACTGATAGTGAGCAGGAGGGCAGCCGTGGGCTGTTGGGCGGCCGGGCAGGCGGACGGCAGGCATCAGGGGGCCGCAGTTTGAAGTCCCAGTACTCACAGGGGGGACGAGGGGAAACCCTTCCATTTTGCACGTCTGTAACATCCAGCCGAGCTCCAAGCCAGTCAGGTCCCCTGCCTCGGTGGGCGCCAGTGCGGAGCCCCTTGGAATGGGGTGCCCCGCCAGGGGCTGGACGGACTCGGGGCGGGCGCAGGGCTCAGGCCTGCCCCCCTGAGCTACGGAGCCCTGCGTGAGCCCCCTCCCTTGTCATTGCTGGGCCAGCGCAAGTTCCTGATTTTATCGAAGGGCCTGCCTCTGGGAGATAGTCCCTTTGGGGTGACATCACCGCCCCAGCCCGTTTGCATAAATCTCTTGCGCTGCTGGTACAGGAAGTTTCTGGCCCGACTGAGGCAGGTGGTGCTCCAAGGCTGGCCTGGGAGGCTGTGGGGGCCAGGCCCCCTGCCCAGAGGAAGCTGGGACTGCGAGAGGCAGCTGGGGGCTGGTGGTGGGCAGGAAGGGTGGAAGGAAGGCTAGCTCTGGGGGCCTTTGTTTCCTCAGACCCTGCCAAGCTCTCTAAGCCTAACCCCACAAATTCCTTGCTCTCTCAAGACCCCCCACATGGCCAATCTTCACTTCTTGGGGCCTGAGCTGGTAGGAGTGGCCTCTTGAGGCCTCTGCTCTCTGGGGTCCACCTGGCTGCCTAAGGGCTCTGAGATCTTCCTTGGCCATGGCCCCAATGTTTAGTTCTACGCAAGCCGGGGCTGGGTTGGGGCAGGCTGTTCAGCTCTTCCTTTCTCCCTGCACACCTTCACGCATGGCTTTCCCTTCCGCCAGAGGAGGGGTTTGCCCCCTTCTACACCTGCTACATCTTCATCCAAGTCCCTGGAGGCTCTATTTCCAGCCCAGTTTCCCGGTTTCTCTACCCCTACCCAATTCTTGAATATCCATCTAGTCTTTCTAGTTAAGAAAGCTTTCTTGTCTATTCAGCCATTCATCAGTTTCCACCTCCATTGTCCACTCATCTATCTATCCACCAAGCTAGTTGTACTTTCATTTATCTGTCTACCCACATGTTTGTTCATGTATCCATTCATATTAGGTGTAGTCCTTTCTTGCACCTACTCACCTGCTTATCTACTGATCCATTTAACCATCTATATATACATATATCAACCCATCCATCTACTATTAATCCATCAACCTATATTTCCATCTGTTTCCACACTGTTTCCACACCGATCCATCCATCCATCTACCCATCCATCTGTTTATTCATTCATCCATCCATCCATCCATCCATCTGTTCATCTATCCATCCATCCATCCATCCATGCATCCATCCATCCATCCATCCATGCATCCATGCATCCATCCATGCATCCATCCATCCATCCATCTGTTCATCCATCCATCCATCCATCCATCTATGCATCCATCCATCCATCCACCTGTACTTCCTGTTAATATTAAGTTTCAGGCTCTAGGCAGGGTATTGGAAAAGTAGAAAAGTATTAGATAAAATCCTTGCCTAAAAAAAAAATCCTTGCCTCCACAATGTTCCTGATCTAGCCTGGTAAATGGAGGAATGAATAAAGACCTTTTTTTTTATCCACTGATCTCTGATGAGTCCACTTAGTTGGGGAAGAACTCCTTGAGCATCCATTTCTTCCCCGTGTGATCTAACCTGGGACTTTCTCTCCCCTTCCTGCTAGGTCTAGTCTGCTTGCTTCCCTCTTGTGGAGTACAAGCCTCCCGACAGATCCTTCACTGGCACAGAGACCAGGGATTCGCAGATCTGGACTCATTATTGGATCTCGTGCATGTCCATCTTCACTGACTTTTTGCTTTTGCTAAAAACTATTAATAATATAATAGTTTACTTTTACATCCCTTTGTGCTTTTTTCCATCTCAGTTGTAATCCCTGTGGGCTTCCCATCACCAAATCACCCGTGCCATCACCATAGTCCCGTGCACTCCCCCCCCCCCTCCGTTTTGGATCCCATTCCCCACTCCATTCCCATAAAGTGTCTCTGGTATATAATTGTTCATTATTATTATTATTTTCTCCCCTGGTCCGTTATACTCCTGCTATGACTGAAACCATCCGGTATTTTTCCTTTTCTTTCTGGCTTATTTCACTAAGCATGATCTTCCCCAGCTCCATCCATGTTGCTGCAAAAGACATGTGATTTTTTTTTT